GGCCGGGACACCGCGTCCACGAGCACTGCTGCGTGGAGCCGCAGAGCTTGCGTGAGGAACCTCACCGATCATGCGCCCAGACTCCGTGCGCCGGCAGTTCACACAGGGTACAGAGGGATCCGTTGCTCCGTGATGTCTGGGGACACTGAGAGACGTGGGTGGTCTGTGGCTGGTGGCCGGGCTCCTCTGGAGATGTCCTCACTCTCATGGCTGGTGGCTGATGCTGGCTGTCAGTGGGACTCAGCTGGGACTGTCACCAGAATATGTGTCTGTGGCTTTGGTGATCTTACAGCATGGAGGCCTCGGCATAGTGAGACTTCTTATATAACAACTGTATTTGTCTTCTGGGGTTGCCATACCAAAGTACCACGCACTGAGTGGCTTAGAACCCAGCAGAACTGCCCGGCCAGCGTGGCTCAATTGGTTGGGTGTCATCCCATGCATCCAAAGATCCCTGGTTCGATTCCCGGTCAGGCCACATGCTTGGGTGGTAGGGTTGATTCCCAGTAGGGGGCATGCAGGAGGCAGCCAATCGATGTTCCTATCTCTCTCCCTGCCCCTCTTTCTAAAATCAATAAAAAACACTTAAACAAAAATAAACAAACACACAAAAAAACCACAATAGGACTGTATCGTCTCACAGTTCTGGAGGGTAAAAGTCCAAAGTCAAGATATAAGCTCAGTTGGTTTCTTCTGAGGGTGTGATCTGAGCCAGGCCTCTCTCCTTGGCTTGCAGGTGGCCCTTTTCTCCCTGGGTCTCCACATCGTCCCCCCTCTGTGTGTCGGTGTCTACATTTTTCCCACCCTCTCCTTAAAAATTGATTTTTATTTACTTCAGAGAGAAAGGGAGAGGGAGAGAGAGAGAGAAGCATCCATGATGAGAGAGAATCACAGATCGGCTGCCTCCCGCACGCCCCGTGCTAGGGATCGAGCCCGCAACCCGAGCCTGGCTTTGGTTATTGACGTGGAACAAGATGCTTTTGGAGCTGAGAAGACCTTTTTTCTCGGAAGTGCCTGGCTCTTGCCGCCGAACACCTCCCTGTCTTTTGTGGCACGGACCTCAGGGGCCTGTCCTGGATGTCAAGACATGGACATGGTCTCTTCTCTTTGGAATCCAACTACAAACAGCCGCACGTCTCCCTATGCTGGGCCAGGAGATCGCTGGTGAGGACGTGTGAAGAGAGAAAAACGCACTAATGAACGTTAGGTGCTCTCTCATGTTCTCATTCACCATGTGTTAGAAGTGCTGGGGTTGATGGAGAGGTTTGAACTGAGTCTGTCTCTAAGACTGGCTGAGGTATCAGCGTTTGCACCGGAGGGTCTCCCTGTGGCGAGATGCTGGGACCCCTGAGCGTTAAGGATGCAGAGAGAGGGGTAAGGGGCCTGGTGACCCAGTGGCAATTCATTGATTCATTGAGTTATTATAGCACCTTGCCCTTCATCTCCTCCAGGGCAGGAAAGATGCCATTCCACAGTCTGCCGACTCTTAAGAGTGTATTAGTTTCCTTTTGCCGCTATAACAAATGACCGCAGGCTCAGTGGCTTTAAAAGAACACACACGTTTTACGTTTCAGTTCCGGAGGTCAGACATCTGCTGTGGGTCTCCCTGCGCTGAAATCAAGGTGTCAGCAGGACCGGTTCCTTCCAGGGGCCCAGGGAAGAACGTTTCCCTGCAGGAAGGACGGCCAGCGCCCAGCCTCCAGCCCCAGGTAGGCCCAGCCTCACCGAGGCCACCAGCAGAGTTGGGTGATAGGGACAGGGCC